TCTTTCCCTTCTTTTTCTATCCAAGATTTACACTCCTTAGTGGTGAAAAGATGAGAAAAAGAAAACTCTATGGAGGAAATGCAAAAATTACAGGTAAAATCTTCAGCTTCTCAGAGCAAGGGGTGAAGTTCCCATAGGCTAAAGAAGGCCAGAATTTCCTTATACATTGGCAGAATCTCTTTGTTAGAAATATCAAGCTACGTATGAAAAAGGGCAACTGTGGGAGACAGCAGTCCTAAAGACCTAAAAGATTGTGTCAAACTGAAGTCACGAGTGTTCAAGTAGTTTTCAGCCCTGCCTAGGGAATTTTGAGCCTGTTGATAAACAGTCTGTTTTGCTTTTTAATTTTTCATGGGCTGATGAGAAGTTGTTGTTCTACACCCAGGGGCCACGGACTGAGAACCAGTGCTCTTGAGCCTACAGAGAAAGATACTCCTTTAGAAAGCAATCTAAACCAGGAGCTTTACTCATTAACTTTTGCTGGACTGATGTCACCCAGAGCAATTCCATGTTGTATTGTCCTGGGTATGTTTTAATGAAGGAAAAAAACACCCCAAAGTATCTCCACTGGTGTCTTTTATTAAGTAATGCAAAATACAGTATTAATTGTGACACTTCATGCATTTTAGACAATATAAATGCAAGCCTACAGAAAATGTGACAAAGAAATCCTCAATTACTTTTGAGGTAGTATACAAGGAAAAATAGGAAAGCAGAAACACAGTGGATTAAAAGAACAAAATATTAGTATCACTTTGTGCATACATTAGTCACTCATAAATACATTTGTATGAAATAACTTAAGATACAATTCCATTCTTGTTAAAAATATACTTCTTCAAATTCACCATTCTTGTTTGTTTTGTTTTCACATGACATTTTATGGTATTTTGTCAGGTGGATTTTTTTTTTTGACACCGCCGTCATTATTTTACCATTTTCCTCCGAGAGCTTAGGCACAGGTGGCCTCATGCACAAAAATAAATAAGAAACCTGCTTGAAGGGAAAAGAATTCTGCTCAAATAGCTTAGGATAGTCTAATAAATACCATTTTGCTTATAAAAATATTTCAGGTTTATAAAAGAGGGGAGGGGATGCTCTCCCATGTGGAAAGGATGTTCAGTGAAAAGTGCTGTATAACATTTTTTAAGAGATCCTGTTTTAAACATATAGTACCATTATGAATATATATTTTATAACAATCCTGTTTCTTAGAACCATATTGTTCACTAGAAATATCAAACGTCGTTTGCTTCCTTTTGTTTGTTGTCTTATTGCCATTTGGAAGATGCCTAGTTCAGAAGGGTTCCATATAATTGTGCTTTTGTAAGGCTGTCCTTCCGGCTCAACCCAGTACTCCCAGTCCGTTGAAACTGCTGCTGTTTGCTGTGAATACCCGAATGGCTTCCTTGCTCCATGGAAGACTGGTGGATTTCAGAAGCCTCCATTGAACTCTGATTGAGGGACTCTGCTGAGCTGTTGGGGCTCACGTCCACATATTCTCTTTTCAATACTGGGCTATTTTCGATGTTTTTGCTACTGCATAACTGGACAGTGATCCTTTCATTTTTTTGGTCTCTTGATTCTTTTGTTTTGTAAGTGGGCAATTTGTCCTGTTTACAGCTAGTACTGATGTCAATATTCAGGCCACTGTCTGTTCTCAGGAAGCAAGAATCCACGAGTCTGCTTTGGCAGATATCATCTCCCTCTGAGCAGCTGTCTGCTTTGTAAGTAGCATAGACTGGGCTTGCTCGACTGTCTCCCTTCTTAATAGGGCTGCTGTAGTACTGCTCTGAAAAACTACAGGGCGACAGCCTGTCAGTGTTCCTGTAAGAGTACGCACCAATGTCCTCCACGCTCAATTGCCTCCATCGCCCAGGCAAATCTTCTTCTGAAAGCTGGGTGCTCCTGCACTCGTTCCTCATTTTCTGATTCGCTAAAGCTTGCTGTGGTGCTATGGCTGAGAAATGAAAAGGTTCGTTTGCATAAGGAGGCAGAGTCCTAGAGAAAGTGGGCGAGTTCTCGTTGTCATCAGCAAGCTCCATGTGTTGAGCAGGTTTGGACTTGGCAAACCTAGGACTTCCCTGATGCTCATAACCTGCAGGTGACTTTCTTTCAAACAGTTCATCTCGATTGCTCATGTAGATCGCTTGCTGAGAGGCTGTCAGAGTGTTGGCTTGGGCGTTCTCCTTCTCCTCAGATGTGACGCTGAAGCTGGAATAGGAGCTGGAGGTTGGCAGAGAAGTAATGTATTCTGGGAAGGCTTCATGAGAGAAGCTGGAATGGAAACCGTCTTCTTCAACAGTGCTGTCTGTGGAGTTCTGGGACCGCAGGAACCCCACGTCTTTCACTTGAGTGTCCACACTCTGCCTCCTCTCTCTCCTCCTCTCCTCAGGGCAGTAAAGGGCGGTGTCACTGCAGTAAATGTCTGACTTGTACTGAGGTCTTTGCCCGGGTTTTCCAGCAGAGTCCTGAAAATTGAGATCTCTTGTAGATGGGCTTGACAAGTGTGAAGACAAGCTGTTTGGATCTGGTTTTTCCAGCACTTTGGCAATGACACAAGTGGGTATGGTATCAGCGTAAGATGTGTGGCACAAGGGGACAGAAAGGCTGCACCCATGTTTTTCCAGATGGATGCTGACTCTTTCCTGAAAGTCAGATGGCAGCTGTAACATAAAGAGATAGCAAAGGGGACAGGAGAAAAAAAAGGTGCATGTCAGTACTGGTGTCAGCTTGGGCTTATTCAACATTGATAGATGGGTGCTGTTTATCACATTACATAGCCCATTATATATGGTTCTTTGACTAATGTGAGAGCCACAATTTAGGTACATTTCTGAAAACACACATAATCAAATGATTTTCATTTATTAATGGTTGGAAATCTTTATCTCCTTTCCCTCCTGGAAAAAAATGGGAAACAGAAATGTTTCCCTCCAAGTTTATTCAGGTCAGAGAGGAATATGTAAAGGATGTAGTAAACAACAATCTTAAGAAGGCAGATAGGGAATTACAGCGTACAGCAGCATTTTCCAAACTGCCTGTATGGCTGTGATTTGCAGTTGGAGTGCAGGGGTGTGGAGGTCTCTGCTGGGGGGAGAAAAGAGGAGGAAGAGATCAGACCTATTCTGTTCTTTTTTGCCTTTCTTCGAGCTCATCTTTCTTTGTGCCAAATTGCCTCTTGCCCTCTAGCATTGCATTTGATAAACAATGCTGTTTGAAGAGGCAGGAAAGTTATTTTCACTGACACTTAAGCCAGTGGAACTGGCTGCTGTGACAGGAGTGTTCCTGTGCTGGTAAGAGGCAAATTGAACCAGCTTCCCTGGCCCAGCAGTCAGACACTGCTTGTCAGATCAACCATCAACATCAGCCTCAGCATTGTCCCCTCTTCCAGCAGCTCTTAGATGGCTCCATCTCTAGTTTCTTACTACACTGACAGAAATAAGAGCTAAGACCCGAATTTGCATTATAATTCTTGTGACAGACTAGTCAGAATTAATCTGCAACTCTGTTATGCATCATAAATTGTATGTTTTTTAGAGAAAGTCAGGATCAGCTCCATGGACAGTGGTTCTACCTGTCAAGTGGACCAGAAGAGACTGAGACACCACCTTCCTTGGTGCTGCTTGGAATTCTGGCAGGCAGTGCCTACACAGGTATCACCAAGCATGCTTGCCAGTAAAACTGTATCTGCCTTGCTAATTTCAGATCTCTATCAATGATCAGACAGAGATATGAGAGAGAGCTGCAAGATGGCTGTCTCTCAGTAGTTCTTTCTGGAAATCAGAACTCGAACTAAGTTTTGAGTTTGTGACTCCTTTGATATCCTTATTGATTTATCCCACTTAGGAATTTTGACCTTGAATACGTGGCTGAACTCTGTTTTACTCTGCACTTTCTTTTCATAACTAGAAATCAAATTCCTCTTTACCAAATAATGAGTGGTCACCCTTATAGCCTGAACAATGTCACTTCCTCCCTAACCTTGTTTCTCTAAAAGAGACAACCTTACAAATACTGAAGCAGTCCTCTCTCCCTCTATTTTAGTAAAGAGAAATTTAAGGTCCTTGCTCCTTGTAATGATCTCACATCGTATAAGATATGGAGCTCCTCTTTCTTCCTCTTCACTGTTAAGTTTTAAAAATTGGTTTAATCCCCAGAACTCAATGTATTAAAAATATGGCATGTTATGAAATGATGTTCTTGTTAATGTGGAGTAGGATGAGTGTTTTTTTAACCAACAGACATTCCAGGAAATTTTGGATTAATTGTTATGTTATTAATTAGCTCACATCTTCCATTGGAAAGAAAGAGTATGATATTGCCAATCTGCTGGCAGACAGCAATATTAGTCATAGTAAGTACAGATGCAAAAAAGACTGAATAAACAAGCTGTAAACTATGGCTGCTGTAAATTGCCACAGAACTGAAGAAATCCAGTTCATTTAATGTGAAACTGCTGTATGGGGCAGCTATTTTTGAGGTATCTTGTAGCACCACTCTTTGATCTATTTTATATACATTATTTAGATTAAGAAATCAGTTATGAAAAAGAACATTATTTTCTGGGCATTGCACTGGAAACTTGAATTACTAACATGATATTACTGTCACACTACTGTATTGTACTATAATTTAGGCTTCTGCATAATGTACAATACTTTGTCTGGCAATATTTGCATTTGTAAGGAATTTATTGGCTGTGACAGCCATTCCCACTTGTTAAATTAATAAATAGTTGGACTTATAAGTGCAAACTTCGCCTATTTAATTGAGCATATGACAGTCTGGGAAGCTGTGGGGAGTTCCTACATTTGTGATAGTTTTCTGAAAGCAAACCGCTAAGTACTTTTAAGTTCTTAATTCTTGCAAATAGGTAGGGTGCTTTCAAGTGTGAATAATGTTATGATAATTCTTGAATATTAATTGCTAAGGCAAGCAATTACTAGGACAAAATGCCAGGAGCAGCATAATGGTTAGTTTGGAAGTTCTGTCTTAGTTCTGAAAAATAATTCCTCATTTGACAGAAGAGCCTTGCTCTGTCCTTATTTACCAGGGTTGTTTAGTGCTCTAAGCAGTTGACTGACTTAGAAAAAGTTTATAGATTCCACATTCAATTTTGCTTTATTCCGTTGAAGAATTGCACAGGATAGACTATTTGGAGGGGCATTAGCCTGGTGGGATTGAAGAAAGGAAGGCTTTTCTCAGTGACCTTCACTGAAGCAATCGACACAAGGAAGGTGCTATTGCTTTGTGTAGGGCCTGCATCCCTAAAGACAGTCTTGTTCACCAAGGTAATATTTGCCTACCCTTTAAGAAGACTGCTTCTCAAGCCTTGTTTCCTTGGAAGCAAGGATTATTAATTAAAGTTTACACCTTGGAAATCAATCATTCGGTGCTCTGGTTGCTTTAGAAAAAGATATTTTTTTCTGTCAGTCCATTTTAAAATTCAGATTTAGAAATTAGCTGAACTGGAAAATAGCTTCAGGAAGAAAATTGATTATATCAGAATCTCTGATGCCTGCAGCTTGTCAATTCCCTGCTCTCACTTCCTGCACCTCCCCCCCCCCAGCCCTCTCTTCACCCAGCATTTTGCAGTCTAGAGTTCTCAGCACTGTGGTTAAGCTAAAACCTTTATCTTTCATGTGATCAGCACATGCTACCAGATAGCCAAGGTTTTGGGGAAGAGAATACCACCTAATTGCATCACTGGCTGTGATTTTATCAGCACCTCCCTCAGCTGCACAGGACACCAGCAGGTGCACAAGCCCTCCTGAAGCTTAACAGAAGGGGGACGAAAGGGGAAAATCAAAGCCTTAAGGGCAAACAAATCTGGAATTGATACACGTCAAATAACCTGTTTTCCATAAAATATTTATTTATTTGATTATTCACCAAATTCGGTCACATTACCTCAGAAAGCTTATGTGCCCTGTCGTAATTCTTGCTGCACTGGAGCAACTGAGCAGCTAAATTGCAGTCCTTCCTATAGAGCTCCTAGAAAAACAAGAATAGCCTGGTTTTTAAAGTCTGCAAGTTGCTTGTGGCTTTCAACCTTTCTCCCATGCCTGAGCAAATTTTTAAAAATTGACTTTGGGGAAAATTGGAGCATACATTAACTTTTAAATACATGTTTCTGGCATGGTCCTAAGATGTTTCCCTCTTTTCCCTGTGAGGGCTGATAGAATTACTAAAAAAATTAGTATTTTAGAAGTGTTACTACGAAAGAGTAATCTAAATTAAAAAAATTGGATACTTACCATTAGGAACTGGACTTTGTACTGTTAGCATGCATGGTGCTATGAAGGGCAAAATAAATGTAATTTTTTAAGCAAAAAGAAAATGTCAGAGCAGAGTATTATCCAGCTCAGCATTGAGATACTACTTCAGAAAATGCTGAAACAATCATATGAGACTGTGGGAGAAATTCACTGCGGAAGTACACATTGTATTGTTTTTTAAGAAGACTTTTTCTCCTAATGGAACTTTTTTGCTGATTCCTGACTCCTTTCATATCTTGCAGTTTGCAGCTATACAAGTATGTTAAATCGTACTGCAAATAGTTGGTGCCAAGAAAAGGATATTTTCACTGCTTGAGAATTTACCATAAGAATTCTGCACGGGGAAAAAGAGAATATAAACAAGTTGATTATACTATATGTATATTGAATGCCTCCCACAGCCTATTTAATGGGAAAATCCAGTACATAGATTTGCCCTTCATTTAATTTAACACAAGTGACTGTTACTGTATCTTTCAACCAGTATCTTTGGGTCCCTAGATGTAAGAGTTGTATGTTGCTTCTCCTGATCTAGGTGCCATTAAAAACCAGGTTGGCTTTATAGATGGCACTATATGAGATAGGCAAAGCATAAAGATGCTATGGACTCTAGGCTGTGTTAACCTGTAAAAATTAGAAAAAGTTTATAGAAAAAAGGTGTTGAATACTGAAATTATTTGTATTTTCTCTGGCACTATTATGATTTTATTGCATGCAGATTTTTACTGTTCCAAGTGTTTTCTAAAAACTGATAGAACTGATTCTATGAAAAGGAAAGGTGGAAATGTTCTGTAATAGCAGGTGCAACAAGACGTTCCTGAGAGTCTGTGAGGCATGGGGATAGTAAATGTATCATTAGTTCATTAGATTTACATATTGAAGGGCCTTTAGATACTCTTGCTTTGTGGGGCTTTTTTTTGTGTGTGTGTGTCTGTATGAGCTTTTATACATGTTACTTCTCTCTTAAATGGACATTTATTTATGTAGGTCTTAAGTTTTATATTAGTTCACACTGTTTTTACTCCAGAAACCAGATGCAAACAGTAGGAATCCAAGAATTGAATTTAGAAGAAAAATCTGTTGCATGAGCATGTGATTCTGGTAAGTTACATGCACATTAAACACATAATATATTGCTGCAAAATGTATAGCACAGAGAAGTACTCCAAGTGCTGTACAACATTACTAGGCACACAAAAATAAAATCACTCCAAAATCTAATACTTTCTTCAGAAGCTGTGAGCCTCTGTGAGTTTTTGTGAAGCAGTTGCCATGGAGAGTACAAAAACCATTTCTGACACTTTATTTTTAGCAGCTTTAAAAATTACTACAGAAAAATTACATGTGAGTTGAATGTGCCACGTGTATTTTGTTCTCAATGTCCTTTAATGTGCATCTCAGTGGAAGCCAGCCACATCTGTGGCAACTAGAACAATAACCAGCAATTCATACCAGAAGTGTTTTCCATAGTCTAAAACATGTTTCTGCATTAAAAGCATTATCTTTCTCATCTGATAGAATAATAAGGGGAAATATAATCAAAAGAAGAAATACTAGCAGGACAGAAATGTGTTCTCCCCATGTAGGAGTTACATACCTATTAGGTACCTAATACCATTTTGTTTCAGTTTTTATTTAAAAATTTGAAATGAAACCTTTATTTTCACTAATGATGCTACATAAGTAAGGCCAGAATTTTGTCTGTGAATCTCAAGTATGAAGAAGTAGTTCTGTCATTTGAGGCTTCTGGGCTGTACTCTAATATTCAAAGAAGTTCAGAATAAATACTGGAAGAAGAGTACTTGGTACTCCAGTGCAGACTAAGCAGCCTTTTAAAAACTATGAATATTGAAAATGCTTCTTCAAATGTGGGCTCAAACCTGAATCCATAAAGTAGTGTAATACTCACTGAAGGAGTATTACAATTTTTTCCCCTTCTATTTTAAATCTGAATAAATCCACTTTGAGCTGAATTATTCTGGCCATACAACTGTGTTTCTACAACCTAAATTTAACTTATTGCATTTACCCTGTTCCATTAGTTGCAGCTATTAGAGTTATGAAGAAGCTGTCATTTCAGCACAATTTGTATAAATGTAAAGGGTCTAACTGTGAACTCTTTGTTTCCGTTGGAAAGCTGTTAATCACATCAGCACAATTCACATCAACAGGTATATTAATGGAATCAAATGCTCCCTGCTATGATCAAGAGTTCATATGAAATATGGGAAGATTGAATGTAAGGTGCTGAAAAAAAAGTGCTAGGAGAAACATGCCTTCTGTAAATGAATTTTTAATTAAATGTACAAGGAATGCCACAATAATGAACTAAATGTCTGCAATCTTCCTTTCTTTGCTGTCTTTATATATGTAGGAAAATTGTTACACATGAACCATAGCTGGGGCAATCCTGGCTCCTGCTCCCTACAATGATTTGAACAGCCAGGTGGGGTCAATCCTACCTTATTCTAGCAGAGCTCATTTGTGCTGGGCATCTCATCTCAGCAAGCAAAGCAAAGACTGAAAGACTAGAGGGACTGAAGGAAATGTAAGGCTCTATCTACACTGTGCCCAAAATCCGTAAGATGAATCATCAGGTAATACATGTGTTCATGTAAGAGTTCTGAGCATATGCTTCTGCCAGTTTGCTGTACTAGACTGAAACCCATGGTAAAATCAAAATGGGAATATTGCCATTTCTTTGATTTTTTTTTCCCATCAGTTTTAGGTTAGACATAAGGCAAAAATATCAATGAAACGTCTCACCCCAATGCCATAGCTTAAGGAGAGCTGAATTTACAGAATGAAGGGGACAACTAACATGAGTTTTAACTGTTGAGGCCACAAGTTACAATGTATGTAAACAATACAAAATTATTCTGTAATTCCATGGGAAGTGTGTGACATAATTTATTTCTGAATATAATCTCAAGATGCATCCATAATTCAATACTTACATTGTCTTCTGACAACTTATCTATTGTCACCTTGGCCTCTATTAAGTGATTATTGAGTGCAATTATTTCATGGCTCAAAGCCCGTTTTTCCTCTTCATAATGTTGACCCTGCATAGAAAATGGAGTAGTCAGTATTTTTTTCTACTGTCAAAATATTTCAGGACAAGGAGGAAACACTGATGTCATTAAGTCCAGGGAAAAGCACAACGGACCAGTATTTCTTTTTTTATTTTAATTTTTTTTTTCCCATTTTCAGACAGGAGATGAGTCAATACACTTTGAAAATACAGAGGTCAACTTGAGCTCACATTAGGAACTTTCACAAAAGGCTCTAGCTAGCCTGTGCAAAAGCATTCAGCTATTCCTGCTCCATCTCAAAGCAGGATTTCTAACCTGGAAGTGACTCAGACTGCTCTTGACTTTTCCTACAAGAATGTTGCACTTGTGCCATTTAACTTCTGTTCTCATTGATGGGGAAGAACAATATTTTAAAAGGAAAGTAGCTGTGTTTGAGCCAAATTCTTTTTAGCTGTTGACTGTGTTGGGTGCTTTAAATTGAGATTGTTAATTTCTCAAGATGAATGTTTGCCTGATTTCAGGGTTAACACTCGTTAGCAGAATGTGACCCACTGTGGCATAACAGGAAAATAGTCTGATTCAAACTTCTTACTGCCCAATAATTTTGTTTTGTTACCAATATGTTGTAACACTTTATTACACATGCAAAGGAAAGTGCCACTGGCCCTTTCCATATTGTGTCCCATTTTCATACTGCAGGATTTATCATGCCACATAATATATAAATAATTTATTTGTAGCAATAATTTATAACTTTACCTGCAGCCTTACATTAGTATTACAAAGTATGCTCTCTTCTGAATGATCTAGCTGAGATCAAGGCATCTTCCTTGACCTCAGAGCTGTACTATGCCATGATAACAAGAAGATTTGCCAGTTATTTGCAGGGACCTTTTAGAAAGCAAAATTGTGACCAGAACAGAAAGAAAGGTAAAGTTTAATGTACATCCATTCTGTTTTGCAAAAACAATCCAGTGACAAAGTCACAATTTCACAGCCTATTCTGTAATTTTTAAAGTAATTTGTGAAGGACTTTCTCCAGCAGGTTGATTGTATTAGCTACTGAAATTTCCCAGATGCCATATTTCCAGGGTCACACAAAAATCTTCCATCAACACACAGTCAGTTTTGTCAGCTAATTGACAGCCAGGGGAGTTGTATGTTTTGAAGTCCGGGCAAATATCAAGGTTAATTACCCAGCTGCAAAACACCAGGCTATATTAAAGAAGGGTGATTAAATTGGAAGTGACAACTCTCATCCTATGTTGTTATTTTTAAAAAAACACCTTCTCAATTGGTCTAAGGAAACCCACAGCTTGCTTTAAACAGCACAGATATGATTGAAGTCTCGAGAAGGTCTGAACTGGCCTGTTTTGATGTCAGCTTTTCTACAGACCATCTGTTCCCTATTATTGCAAGACCTCTGTCCTGACAGCCCAGCTGTGCCTGGAGACTGGTTCAGCCTTGACACTTCTCCTGTATTCCTTCCCATCGATCAGGTGCTCCTGCTGTCTGCCTGGATACTGTATCATGGAAAGCCAAAGATACCTCCGAGAGCTTGCAAGTGCTCTAGACTCACTGATTTTAGCAAGACACATGGTCTTAGGGACTGTGGCTTTTAGTTAGGCAGATTGACATGGTTTTATATGAGGTCCTTAACTCTCATTGATTTTACTGTGAACTAAACAATTAGGCCCATTGTAAACCTCCTGAACATCTGTGCATCTCTAGAAATCTGTCTTGTTTGAGAGTATGACTGAAGATTACATTTTCAAAGGTATTAAGTTGTGTAATGAGGTAGACAAATGCTATATTGACATCTCCAGCTACCAACATACCTGGGGAAAATGTGTCACCTCAATTTTCCAAGTAATTTCATGCTTTTGAAGGATCCAGCCCCACTGAGTAGTGACATAATCTCCCAAATAACCAACTGTATTGAAGATTTTATTAATCCTTGCATGACAAGTTGTCATCAATGCCAGGGCAACTGATGTGTAGGAGGCTCATTTGCTCTAAGTCTCTCTGATTTCAATGAGTGTTGTTCTTGTCTAACCAAACTGAATTTGATTCAATATATTTTACAGGTCAGGAAAGATAATCTGATCAAGGATCTTCACCACTGACAGGAAGGCATAGAAAGGCAGCAGATTCAGGCTTTGGAAGCAGTACTTTCCATTGCATTGAATAATCTTGAATCTGATTTTATTTCAGTTATGATAAATTTTGGGCTGATATTTTCCAGACATCAAGTGTGACTTTAAAATTGTTTTTATATATTTTTTTTAACTATTAAATTTGTCACAGTCCAAATTTATACTGTACAGGCCAGAAGATAGACACTAAAATCATAAACCTCTCAACAGTTCTGTGGAGGAGAAATAAAGGTCAGTCCCAGTCTTCTCCACCAGTATACACTGGCATTTTTCTCTTGAAATCAGTGTTGTTGACAGGAGCAAAAAGTCTGTTCCACTGTGGCAACATGAGGATGGACATGACCCTGAAAGGCTTTGGCATATGGACCACATATTGTGTGTCCAACTTTAAATGTTCAGGGCTTCAGCCAGATGTTATTGTGGCCCAGTGGTAGCAATAAGAGGACGGGAGCTTAATCCTAAAACCATTTTAGGGAAAATGGTGCAGCTGGAGGAGATTATGTGGCAGTGCTGGATCACTGCATTAGAAGGATTGCTGGTTACTGGGGACTGCTGAGTGCTCCAGTTGCCATTGGACAATCCTATTTTCAGCATTAGTTACAGATGTCAGAAAGGGATGAAAGCAGGAGAGAAATCATAATGTCAGTGCTATGATTAGGAGTTACAAATAGAAATGCTTATTTTACTCATAACTACTTTTGGCAGATCCTTCTATGTCTGGTAGTTTTTAGATGCTTGGTTCTCTTGCTCTTTCATAAGGCTGGTGACCTGTCCTCTCTCCTTTTGGCAGTGCTTTCCACTGTGCAGGTGCTAACAAACTGTCTCTCAAAACTCAATAACAAATTAAGTTAATGGTGTTATTAATATGCCAATAGCTTGCAGCTGGGCTGAGGGCTCCTGAAGTCTACTTCAAAAGGCCACAGCTATAGGCTGCAATGGGCTGAGCTTCTGTGGTGGATTCAGAAATATGTATTGGGTCAGCTCAGTGCATCTTGCCCTGCCTCCACCCCTGGCACAGAGCCAACATGAATGAATGCAGCTCCAAAGTGTCTGACTAATTTGAGAGAACTGCAATCACTTGTCCACGTCTGAGTCAGATCAAATTTGTACTGCTGGATGACTGGAGCAATGCACAGTGCTGGTATTAATACTGAGGGAACCAAGCTCTTGAAGCCCTTGCTCATAGCCTGAATTTAGCATGAGCCCCACTGCTTCCTGCTCAGATCTGGTAAGGAATTGGGTATCTGCTCTTCACAACAGGATCAAATGATATAATAGAAGATACCTCTGTAATGAACCTTGTTTTTCTTATAATTTGTATCTTTCTTCATAGTAACAACATCCCTCATATCATCACAGATCCATAAAAGTATAAAGCCTGACTTTCAAGAGTGTTTAGTATTTTCTAGTCCCTCTACCTGTTATCTGTGGTAGAAGTGAGATTAAAAGAGTTTTGGTGGGTTGATACAGCACAGAATAATTAATAGGTAAGCATGTTTTGGAAAGTAACAGAAGCTGCATAAAAGTACCTGCTTTTCTTTTGTACTAGTGTACCCACAAAGGTTCCTATTCTAGTGCTTCAGCAGAAGTGGAGCAGCCTAAAAATTGGCTGTCTCTCTGATAATGTTTCAGTCTTCCCTCAAAACTTTCCAGCAGCTGGAGAGGGTCCTCCCATAAAGCAGTGTCAGCTCATTAGTCCAGGCTAGGCTGCACACTGTCATCTCTGCTGTTCTGCAGAAGCTTTGAGATGTGTACAGACCTTTTGAAATCAGTCTTAGCTTTGTATATGAGCAGTGCAGGTCTGTGGAAATGTCAGCCTTTTCACACATGGCCAAGGGAATCTGTTCTTGATGTTGCTGTAAGGAACACATCAATGGACTGCATTTCAATGCTACTGTGAGAATAATATAATGGTAGTAGTGACCATCAGGGCAGGTCAGCATCATCCTTTTGGAAATACCCCTTAATAAGCAATTCCTGAATGGCAGACAGAAAGAGAGACTTGTTTTGTTACAAATGCCACCAAAGTGGCACTTCTGTATGCTTGGACAGAGGTTTACTGCAATGTATTTTGAAACACAGGCTGTACTTTTCCCCCCTTTTTTCTTTGCTGTTGTGCTTGTCCAAGAGGAAGAAGACAGCAGTTCATGGGAGAAATTCCCCACTGGTCCAATAACAGTGTTAACTCAGTATTTTTCTCACATAGCAACACTCAAGACATTTTAATTGCAAATGTTAATAGGTGGTGTAAGGCATCTGCAAAGCAACTGCAATGTACTTATGGTTGTGCTATGGGTGTAGTTGGAGGACAAGTGCTTGCGGGGGATATGCTTCCAAAACAAGGTCTGTGTATTTTAAGGTGACACTTTATAATCCAGTTGAAATTATCTTATGAATGGTAAAACAGAGCAGTTGCAGATAACACAAAACTGGAAGAAGTGGCTCATACAGCAGAGCACTGTGCTGTTATCCAGAAGGACATTGACAGGCTGGATAAATGGGCTAACAGGAATCTCATGACATTCAACAAGAGGAGATGCAAAGTCCTGCACCTGGGGAGGAACAGCTTCATGCACCAATATATGCTGAGGGCCACCAGCTGGAAAGCAGCTTTACAGAAAAGGACCTGAGGATCCTGGTGGATACTAAGTTTAATATGAGCCAGCAATGTGTTCTTGCTACAAAGAAGGCCAAAGGTGATCAGGGCTGCATTACAAGAAATGCTGCCAGCAAGTCGAGGGAGATGATCCTTCCCCTCTACTCAGAACTCGTAAGGCCACATCTGGAGTACTGTATGCCAGGCAGCTATTCACTTACAGACTCACTGAACCTGCAAGTCTGTTTCAGAATTTACATCTTTACAAGCAACTAGAG